TTCATCATTGCCCAAAAGGTTGAAATACAAATATCACAAATGGCATCATAATCCAACAATAATGATTGCGCTATGTTTGTTAGACATACTTCCAATGGGTGCATTATCATTTTTATTATACGTCAATGATGATACGATCGTTACGGGCGATTATGATCAAGGTGTTTCTTCTCTATATTTTTTGAGATGAAAGATTTGGGTTATTTGCGTCGTGTAGATGTTGCTTACTCTCCCCAAGGATATATTTTACCTCGATCCAAGTATGCCAATGATATCATGACTCATGTCAGTATGTCTTTTGACTCTTCAATTGAGATGAATTATAAGATTAAAAGATAGAGGCCTTTAACCAATCCGACAAGAGAGAGGGGAAGTAGTTGGATCTCTTGTTTATCTTACCATAACTCGCACCAAATATTACATACGTTATGCATGCCAGTCAGTTTCCTACTGCTCCAAGAGCCTTTCATTGGTCTGTTGTTTTACGTATCTTGAGATATTTACAAGGCACTCTCCACCACGATTTATTATTATATTCTTCATCTGATCTAACTCTTATCTTTCATGTTGATTGGCCTGGTGAGCCTTCAATTAGGGAGTCTGATGATTCTTTACTTTCTTGGAAAAGTAAGGAATAATTGGTCGTGACAAGATCTTTTGCAGAGTTTGTATCCAGTTGTGGCTTCTACTGCTAGTGAAATTATTTGGTTTCAATGACTTCTTGATGAGCTTGGTGTTCCTTAACCTAATGTTACTCCTATGTTCTATATCACAGTGCTATCCATACTGCTAAGAATTCTAGTTTCCATGAGCGCACAAAACATATTGAGATTCATTGTCTCTTTGTTCGTCATCAATTCTTGGCTGGCATCATCTCTCATCCTCATCCCTCCTTTGCCGTTTAGCTTGCTGAATTTTTTACTAAATTCCACATAACTTCTCGATTTCGACATCTTGTGGGCAAACTCAATATGGTTCAACCATCATGAGTTTGACGGATTGGATTCCTTCTTTGCTAAATTTACATTGCTCTACTAAACTTCGACATACATATGATTAAAACTAACTGGCATATGAAGATATCAAAGAAAAATGTTCAATCAAAAATGATTCTGCTTCCAAACATCAAAACCCCACATGCCACAATTTATATTTGCTTAACATTTAAGAATTATTACAAGTAGGTGAGACCGGAAAAAAAATAAAGAACCATAGGAAAGAATGTGCAAAGGAAGGGCATATGGTAATTGATTTTGGCTCATAATTGTGTTAAGCATATTGAGGCACATGACTGCCCATCATTTGGTCTTTGGTACTCCACCATTAAATATTTATTATCTTTATCCACTGCTTTTTCACACATACACAAACTTTTACGTTAAGATAGGTGATAATTTTGGTTTGGAATAAGCAACTTTATTCGGTGTTCATACATTGCTTATTTGGCTAGCCAATGTTTTTAGTTTAATTATTTAATCATGCTCTTTGTTTGCTTTTTTTTTAATAACTGTGGATGTTCGAGCCAACTTGCGCACACCTCCACTATCCCGCGGTGCCTTGAAGTTTACGGTGGATTACTCACCTCAGTGATTTTGAGGGGACTCGAACGGTGACTATTGGGGAGCAAACTCAAAGTCTGACCAAACGAGTTTGCTCTTTGTTTGCTTTCACGCTCAAGTTTTTTCTTGAGTAACAAAAATGGGGACTTAGATTTACGAATAAAACAATGCTAGGTATACATAATTTGCTTTACATATTTTTTACAAATATACACTGGGCAATTTTTCATTTGTCTATGGCAAATAACACAAAAAATAGATTGAATCAGATGTTGCCAACGCAACATCTGGAAAAGTTCTGTAAAGATTTCTTATGTACATATGGTTTTGGCCTTACGAATAATATAACTGCCTCTGTTTGGTTCAAAAAAACAAAAAATTAAAAATTGGTAGATAAAATTTGTTGAAATTTATGATTGAAAAGTTACGAATTCCGGAAAATGTGTGATTGAAATGAATTTGGGGAAAAATGAATTTAAAAAAAAAATGAGGGACAAATAGGGGCGTAGTCTGTATCAAGAGTAAGTTCTTCGAAATTTGATATTTGGTCGAGTAATGAATTTGTTGACCGAATAGCTTGTATCGTCTTGAAAAATAGAAATCCGCAGCAAGCTAATTCTAGCTTTCTACTAAAGCTGAAGGCTTTATTAGAAGAATGCATGTGAAAACGCTTTAATAAAACAGAAAGGGGCAAAGCTGCAATTGTTAGATTTTGACAAAATCAACTTAAAGATAGGGACAATGGTCCACTAATCCAAGAGAAAGTAACATAACATGGGACTTGTCTTCATCATGTAATAGGCTAGAATTTAAGAATTGTCAAAATTTTAAAGTTAAACAATGATTACAATCAAATTAAGAAATCTGGCACGCTGTGTGTTCACTTGATTGCACCGAAAGAAGTAAAGTCTCAAGTCTATATATTTTTAATTTCTAACTCCAGCGAGACAAAATTGAGTTTAAATATAAAAGTTGGATTTAAATTTCATTAAAATAAAAGAATTTACCT